GAACACGATAAATCGGTCAATCCCCAAGTCATACTAATAAGTATTTTGCTTTTATTCCTAATTTTTTTTTGGTTTCACAAAGTATTAAAGACGCCAATACAAAAGGTAATTGATAGTTAAATTTTTATCTTTTAGTATTTCAATTTACAAAAATTGAATGGAGGCTGCATGGCTTCAATAAGATGGCAATTTTGAGAAGCCGTGAGTTTGCCTAGGATGCGTACTATGTTAAGTATAATGTTCATCAAATTGATTTCCAAGACCTATCAATAGTGAACATGTCAAAACCACATGAAGCCTGTGATTAAAGGACCACTTCACACCTATAAAGCACTTCAGCTTGCTGAAGAGCTTTATGTGCGAGGAGAGTCCCATGACAGTTGATAAAAATGCAGATTTCTCATAGACATTATAAATTAATTATAAAACACCTTCCTAGCTGTCTGTTAAATAGCTACAGAGACTTTTTATATATTGTTGTTGTGCCTGTGGCTGAGAAGCAAAGGGTTGCAAATAAGATGTTTATGACTGATCATTTACTGACAGACACTGATCGTTAGGGCAAACTCTGCAGTCAGAAGAACTCCAGCTTTTGCAATTTATTTTTACATATACCCCCAGTGACAACAAGCAAAAGAAAAAAAAAATTAAATGCACGCTGGTATATCTACTAAACCATGATTTCCTCTCTGTCATTTTAGAGTGGAGTGGCATGTTCTAAAATAAGTAGGGCTGAAAATTGTCTGCAACTAGTGAGAACTAAAAATTTACTGGCCACTGCAAGTCTTGAGGGTCCATAGCACACACATCAGGGTGGGGAGGATTTCCTCTTTCCAGAACTGTATTTTTATTCAACATTGGCTAGTGAATATCAAGTTAGTCTGTTGGTGAATCTTGAAAGTAGGTATATTAAAGCACCTCTCTTCATTTGCCTGTAGTATGAGGGAGAGTTAACTACCTTCCAAAACTTGCCTTTTTCATGAGGTTATTTGTGGTAGTAAGCAGTAGTGCAAAGTTGCTCACAAAATACCCGTAGTTTATCCATTTTGGGTCAGATCTAAATATTCCCTTCTTCCCACTTTTGATAAGGTTGGTTATCTCCACATAAAATCACCAGTGCTTCTGGTCAGCAGTGTGTACACAATATAACTGAATAACAGAATGCCTAAGACGTTGAGAAAACTCACCTGCTTTCCAGTGAAACCTTGGCATATGACTTTAGTATCCTTATTAATAAACAAGTTCTGCCGTGAAGCTGCATAAGAGCAGTGTCTTACTGCATTATGTTGCACTGTGAAAACAAAAGAGAACAATTGTTAGTTAGCATATATTGAGTATTACAAAGCAATACATTTTCTAGGGATCGACTGATTATCGGTAATACCGATAATGAGGTGGGTCGGTGGGTCCATAAGGTGGCACAAGCGTCCGCCTTAGGGCGCACCGAGCCAGGGGGCGCTAGATTGAAGTGTGGCAGGAGGTTGGCACACAGGCATTCTGTAGTGTGGCCGAGCAAGGCAGCGCGCACCGCAGTACAGGAACTTATGTTTCCTGTACCCGGCCAGACTGAAAGGAAATGCTCACTGAGAGAGCACTTCCTCTCAGTATGGCCAGGTAGAGGAGACAATCTCCTGTACCGCGGGAGACAAGACAGGGGGAAGTTAGAGGGGAGGGAGGGGAAAGACCACTATGGGACAGGGGAGGGGGGCAGGACACAACCGCTATGGGACAGGGGAGGGGGGCAGGACACAACACTATGGGACAGGGGAGGGGGGCAGGACACAACACTATGGGACAGGAAACAACATTATGGGACAGGGGAGAGGGGCAGGAAAGAACACTATGAGACTGTGAAGGGGTGGGAGTAAAGAACACTGTGGGATGGGGGAGAACACTATGGTTAAGAGCATTAAGGGAGGGCACTAAGTTACAGGGAAGGGAAAAGGAACACTGGGGTAGGGGGAAGGGAGAGGAACATTAAAGGAACACTATAGGGTCAGGAACACAATGAGTCTGTTGGCGCTGGCTCCACCCCCTTTGTGACAATCAAAATGGCTGGTTTTTAGTCCAATTTGGCTACAAATTGGCTAAAATCGGCATGGGGTGTGGCCAAATGCTGTTTTGGCCATTTAGGACCTTCTCATAGAGATGCATTGAATCAATGCATCTCTATGAGGAAAATTCAGCGTCTCCGTGCAGAGCGTGGGGACGCTGAAGAGGGCTGCTTTTTCGGCAGCACTGACCCAGGAAGCACCTCCAGTGACCATCTAAGGAGTGGCCACTTGGAGGTGTCCCTAGAGGCAATGTAAACAAGGCAGTGTTTGCATGAAAAAAGCCTGAAGGGAACTATTATACTCACCAGAACAACTACATTAAGGGGAATGAGGGGGAGTGTTCCTATCGCACATATTTACACACAAACACACTGCATCCACTACACAAACACTGCATTTACTAAAATTTACTCTCACTGCATCCACTACACACACACATAAATATTCTTGAAAACATGAAAAAAACCTGACTGCCGTGTATGTTTTGTGCATTTACCACTTCATTAAAAAATGATTAGCAAAAACAGTTTTCCTCAAAACAGTAAATGTACAGAATATCGGTAAACTATTGGGTATCTGCCTGAAAGTTTACAGATTATCTGTATCAGCTCTAAAAAAAAAAAAAAAAAAAAACACATTAATCGGTCGATCCCTAACATTTTCCCGAAACACCTTAAGGTAACACGGAAAGCTTAGTCATTAGCCCAATATACCAAGTTCATTATAAAAATGTATAAAATCGCTAGACCTATAACTGAATGGGACAGGGGAGGGGACATCATACTTGGATGGGATTGTTGGACCTTGCATTCAAAAGCCATGTTTATTACTATGGAGTTGTCCCCTCTCACCACACACCTTTACAAAGATTTGGATTTTGTCTGTGGGAATTTCTGACCAATCAGCCAAAAGAGCATTTGCAAGGTCAAGTACTGAAATTGGATGAGAAGGCCTGGCTCGTGACAGGTGTTAAAATTCCTCCCAAAGCTGATCAATGTAGTTGAGGTCAGGACTCTCTGCAGTCCACTGAAATAATGAGAGACTGGCCTCCAGGCTCCCTAACAATCACTGTGATGACATGTCTGTTTGCCAGATAAACTTGTCATCACTGTGACTGACTTTTACAGCAACTAATTAGAACTGGATAATGTGAAAATCGTATCAAAGTATGAAGCTGGTCAGCATGATAAAACAGATAGGGGGATATAAATAATTTTACCACAAATCTCAGGAAATCTAGCAGACTGTCTCCAATGTCCCCCAAATAATTTGTCAAATGTGTACAAGTGGGATATTGCTGTACTCTGCAAATGCAGCAGAAAACAAATGTGGAGTCTTTGAAGTTGTAGGACACACACAGCCTGTGAAATTCACCATTAAAATTCAATATATTTGCGAGCCGTATTGTCTAGTTATATCAACATCCCCCTAAAACTGGAGGGGTCTGTTTAGAATTATTATAACTGGAATATATAAAGCACCAACATATTCCGCAGCGCTGCACAATTGGGAAAAAGACAATGCAGTATAAACATACCAATACAAAAGGTAAAGGGGCCCTGCCTGTGAGTTTACAACCTAAACATTAAAAGGGAGAGATAAGAAAAGAGGTAGCAGAGGAATTTGGAGACGATGGCAGAGAAAATTAATAGTATAATTGCAGTAACTACCAGACCACCACTAGAGGGTTTTCTGGATTGAAATGGACATTTGGTCCAGTATCTGACGCTGGACGTCCTCACGTTCTGCATGAGGACACCCAGTGTCCGATTTTTCCCCATAGAAACTAATTCTTTAAATTATTTTTTAGGGGGAGGTCTAATGCGCATTCGCGCCCACTCGTTGCGGAACTTTGGAGGGGGCAGAGCGTGAGCCCAGCACAGAGGAACATCGTCTGTGTGATCAGGTAAGTAAATAAAGGGCTTTTAACCCTTTATTTACCCAGGAGGGAAAGCGGAGGCAGGGGGTGCGATAGTGCCAGGAATACAGCTTTGTATTCCTGGCACTATAGTATCCCTTTAGTAATCTTGAAATTCATGAGTTGTGGAAAGCAAGTGCCACTTTAGAATCTTAGATTTTTTTTTTTCCCGTTTGCTTTAAATTTTGTAGTTTGGTTTCCAATTCACTACAAATTAACGGTTAATCCCTCCTGCAAATTCTACGAGGAACTTGACTTCACAAAACTTTTTTTAACGTTCTCTTCTTAAAAATATACTATAATACAACCACGAGCCTGATAAATCACACAAAATGTGAGAAGCAAAGACAACGAATTGCACAGCTTTTTGAAAAGTAATTACAGATAAACACAGTAAATAAGCAGGGAATTAACAATCTGGGGAAAAATGCAAATTCAAACTACAGACTGTGCAGAAACTGAAGCACTGCCAATAACACTTGTAAAACAATTTACTGGGAGCATTCAGATACAAGCACTGCACAGGGAGGGCTGCCTGCATTTTCCTGGTACTTTGTGAAATAATAAAAAGAGATAAATACAAAAGATGCTTTCCAATTGCCTGATTTTATCAGGATTTAAAAAGGATAAAATGTCATCTAAAATATATTTGCTATACCTCTCCAATACTACTTCATGTGGATAAATTATCATTATTTATTTAAAAAGAAAGGCAATTGTTATCATATATAGATTTGCTTTGTGTACACTTGACTGTTATAAACAGGATCTTAGGATCCTGGGATTTGTCAGCCTGTTACCGTTCATGGGAGGTGGGTGGCTGGCCGAGGATGTATGGAAGTAGCTGGCCAACCCAGGGAGCAAGAAGGCGATTGGCTGGCCCAGGAAGCAGTAATCTTTGGGCTCTGCTCCCTTGCATTTCCTGCTGTAATGACAGGAGCCAGAATATAACATCACTCCAGCCCCGCATCACAAAAAAGCGCACACAAAAAAAAAAAAAAAAAATAGTCATAGAATGGACAAAAATAAAAATCTGCATTCCAGAGCTTTACAGCAGTGAAACTCACAGTACTCTGCAATGCATATAGGAATATTAGAGCTGTATAGCACAAAATCATAGTGTGTAATGTCTGAGTATTACACCATTAAACAGTAATTACACATCCAACAGTAATATAAATAAATATAAACAAGCTCCACAGAAATAAAACTGTAAAAGTGAGGTTTGTGATCAATGAAATCAAAAGTGCACAGATTTCGATAATTAAGAAATTCAGAGTAATGAGCAATGTCAGATGCACTTTTTGCAGTAAAAAAATCACTGAAACACAAATTAGGCAGAGGGCTGCACAAGCATTCACAACCCTCTTTATGTGTGCATTCCGGAGTCCCCTCAAAACACCTACAATATAATTTTCCTTTATTAAATTGTTTTAGTTTTTTTATTTAGTTATATGAACTCCGTAAAACGACACTCTGCCCCAATCACCATCTCCTCATAAAGAGGCATTAAATCAATGATTCTCTAAGGGGAATGTTTAGCATCTCAATGTAGAGCGTGGAGACGCTGTGCAGCACTGACACAGGGAGCACCTCTAGTTACTGTCTGTGTGACTGCCTCTAGAGGTGCTGCTAGGAACCAATGTAAACACTTTCCTCTGAAAAGGCAGTGTTTACACTGAAATGCCTGCAGAGACAGGTTATAGACACCAGAGCCACTACATTAAGCTGTACTAATTCTGGGGACTATATAGTGTCCCTTTAAGTAAAGCATAACGCAGAAACAGAGATGGAACTACCCACTACTTTGTCTGTTAGTGTGGTTATCGAAAATTGGCACTGCACTCTAGGTCTGAAGGCCAGATATACAAGTGTAGCAGACCAAGTCAGGCCTATGGACCTTTTATTTAACACTTTAGTTAAGAAAATGTGGTATTATATGCACAGATAGTGGTGTTGGTGACCAACCTTTGAAGAAAGAAAAAAACACTCCCAATTATTGAACACAGCATGCAGGTTAAAACCTGTTTTTGTCAGGGAATAGTACAGAGGGCAGTAAGAATCCCTGCAAGCAGCTTTCTGTTTCAAAGGTGACACAAGAACCAGAGCAAAGTTCACCGGGATGGTTTTACATCTCTTACTACCAGCAGTACATACAGATGATTTGTAAGCACTTTGTTTCCTCACTCCATTCACGAATCTAAACCTTGAAAAGTAAACCATTACTGGAACCTCTCAGCACTTGGAAGAAGGGGGGAAAAAAGGCACACTGTGCCTTCCTGTCGGTCGAATGCCTAAAGAAACCTATGATCAAATCTAAAAATAAAATCTTTCCAGAACATGTCTAAAAAGTAGATGGCAATATTATTTTGTGTACATGGAATTGAAGATCACAAATACAGTTTTAGAGACAAAATAAGTTATCGAGGAACTTACAGGTAAGTAGTTCTTGTTTTTTTCACTCCAGTAAATACTACAGAAGTGTAATGCAGAAGAAATATGTATAAAAACAAAGGAAATTAAAAGAAAAAAAAAAAAATCCCTCACAGTATTGCCACGCTTCCCATGCTGCACTTGTGAACTTAGGCATTTTCTCCAGCACTGCTGTACTTGCTCTGTGCATACAGCATTGTAAACGTAAACTTATTTACGCTGCATAGCAAAGCATATAACTGAAAATAAAAATCAATAAAGAAAAAAAAAAGAAAAAAAGCCACAAAAAGTAGCTAACTTTTAGTTCAATATTAGGTTATGCTACAATTCAGGAATTAAACAGCCATGGATTATTTTTTATTTTTTTTTGTAGCCAAATAATAAAACTACACTTATAGAATACAAAACAAAGCTGGAATGTTATGAAATGAAAATGCAGGATATGGAATATACATTTTCAAGACTAGAACTATGTTAAAGAGACTCTCCGGTGCCAGGAAAACAATCCGTTTTCCTGGCACTGCAGGACCCATCTCCCTCCCACCACCCATCCCCCCGGTAGTTGAAGGGGTGAAAACCCCTTCAGTCACTTATCGGAGACCCCACCGATGGTTTCGGGTCGCCGCCGCTCCTCCCAGTGATTACGTCAGCCGGTGGGCGAGACTGATCCCGCCCGCTGGCTGAGGAAACCTAATGCACATGCCCGGCAATGCCGCGCACGCGCATTAGAGCTCTCCATAGGTAAGCATTGAAAATGCTTTCAATGCTTTCCTATGGGGAATTGAGCGACGCTGGAGGTCGTCACACAGTTTCCCGTGCTATGGACACGGAAGTGCCCTCTAGTGGCTGTCTAGTAGAAGTGGAGTTAACCCTGCAAGGTAATTATTGCAGTTTATAAAAAACTTCAATAATTACACTTGCAGGGTTAAGGGTAGTGGGAGTTGGCACCCAGACCACGCCAATGGGCAGAAGTGGCCTGGGTGCCTGGAGTGTCCCTTTAAGCTATTCATATAAACAGTCAGTTGCTATCAGGAGGCTAGGGAAACGTCAGATAATTCCTCATCTAGAGAAAAAGCAATATTAACAGTAAAGGCAAGCTAATAGGATGTATTTTCAGCTATATATTTCAAGAATTAAATAAAAACTCTCCAGTTTTCAAACAAAAGTAGATTTCCCATTTCATGACTCTATATTTAGAATTGGGACTGAACTTCAGTTTTTATCTACTCTTTCACGGTGAAACGAATTTAGAAGAGTATCTTTGACGGGATTTCTACGGTCTAATCTTTTACTATCCAACCTAGCCCAAGCACCATAGCTATAAATAAACTGGCCCACTATATTCAAAATAGCCTAACTTATTAGCTGTGCCACAACTCTCGTTTCCCTCCAAACAACTTAAACCTCAACAAAAGTTGGTCAATCACAGCAATAGGTATCACTGTGTCCTTACCAGAATCTACCAATAAATATCTGAAATGCAAGTACTTTTTTTTTTTTTTTTTTTTTTTTATAATTCCTCTAAACTTTGATTATTGGAATATTTTTTTTTTACACAGCTGAAGAGCCTGTTAATCAACTACTCTACACCTTCATCATGCAGGAGGTGGAGTTAAGCCTGCAATGTAATTATTGCAGTTTTTGAAACTGCAATATGGGACAAGGGCACTGCATCCAGACTACTTCAATGAGATGAAGTGTTCTGGGTGCCTATTGTGTCCCTTTAATGTTGTCCCAATTGTGCATGACGCAACACACCCCACCACCCCAACTATGCTGTGTAGACATTTATATCAGCTGCTGCCAATTTAACCCCTTAAGGACCAAACGTCTGGAATAAAAGGGAATCATGACATACCATGTGTCCTTAAGGGGTTAAACAGTTTAGTGAATAACCCTGTTCATGCTTGGAGGATCATGCAGTGCATTTAAAATTATGAGAAAATACTTGCAGAATTACCTTAAATCTAGGATACTTCTGCACAATTACATCAGCAATACGTTAAACTTTTACGCCAAGGACAACCCCGCATGTCCTCTACCTCTAGCTTAGACTGCCATGTATCCCTGAGTAAGGCTGTCAAACATCCATTTCAATTAGCGGTGTTTATAAAAAATAAAAAAACTGTAAAGGTTAACACATTAATAAAGTAGACTTTTTTTACAGATAGCACCATAAAAGCATTGTTTGATCCACTAGGCATGCTTTATTAGAGCATGGCATGCCATCCAAGGACTCACAACCTCCTACTTTCACTCATCTCCATCCTGCTTGGGATCCAGACAAGGCTAGAAACCCCAAGACCTCAACAAGGTAATGTAGTATACGAAAGCTTTTTATTGTGCTCTTTGCTCCGTAAACACAATGAATATCTTTTCTCTACAGGGCAACTTCTAAAGTCTCATTGCCTCAAGAACAGACTTGACAGCATTTAAGTAAATCCTGTGTACACTACAATATCCTACAAAGCTATTAACCCATCTGGTCCCCCATGGAGAGCCACCTGTCTGCCCCCATGGAGCCCACCTGTCTACCCCATGGAGCCCTGCCTGTCTGCCCCATGGAGCCACCTGTGTGGAGCCTGTCTGCCCCAGGAGCCCACCTGTCCCCCCCCATGGAGAGCCACCTGTCTGCCCCCATGGAGCCCACCTGTCTGCCCCCCATGGAGAGCCACCTGTTTCCCCTATGGAGGCCCACCTGTTTCCTCCCCATCCCGGCGGAGCCCACCTGTTTCCTTCCCCCTCCCTCCATGGAGGCCCACCTGTTTCCTTCCCCCCTCCTCCTCCCCTCCTCCTTGGAGGCCACACCTGTTTCCTCCCCCCTCATGGAGCCGCCCCTATCTGCCCCCCCTCCCCATGGAGGCCCCTGTCTCTCATTTGCATGCAGAGCCCCCTCACTCTCATTGCTCAGGCCCTGTGTCATTCCAGTACAGGCCCCTGTCTGTCATTCCATGCAGAGCCCCCCCTGTCTGTCATTCCATGCAGAGCCCCCCCTGTCTGTCATTCCATGCAGAGCCCCCCCTGTCTGTCATTCCATGCAGAGCCCCCTGTCTGCTCCCTGGGACAGAGTGACTAATGCCCACTGAGCTCCAGCTCTGCCCAGACCGTGCAATCAGCGCCGGCAGCCAGCCAGACCACCTACCGACAAGGCGCCCGAGAATCCGTCCGTGCAGCATGTTGCGGGTCCTTCACCAATGACAGCCCCTGACCGGGAGAGCAGAGCAGAGAGGAGGGAGGGTCCTGAGAGCAGGGCCCCGGGCTGCCCGAGGCAGTGCCTGAATACAAAGGGCAATGTGTGGGCGGGCTACACACTCAGCCACGAGCCCGGGGAAAGACAGGACAGGCTGTGAAATGCATTGCACACAAACGGCGAATCGTTTATTTAAATACGGCTTCAAACAGAAAGGGCAGCTAAGCAACGTCAGCAACGGAAAACCTTCCACCATAGAGAAGGAACCCGCGGATAGAAGCGCTGCGCGATGCATGCCGGGAAGTGTAGTTCCCCTTTCTGAACGTAATTTCTGCTTCAATGGCAATAACGATAGAGACGGCGAGCTGGGAGAGAGCGGCAGCGCGCGGGGAGAGAAGGGATTTGTAGTTCTCACGTTGGAGTTGTGAATCCTGGTGTCCAGGGCACTGCATGGTGTTCAAGGTTATTTACTAAAGGGAACACATACTGTATTGTTCCACATTTTTTTATTTATTTATTTTTTTTTAAATGTCAAAATAAAATAAACTTCTAGCTGGCTAAGCTTAAGTTATTATTGAATTCCCAAAAAATTCTTAAATTAGTAAATAACCCTGTATTTCGTAAGCGTTAAAAGTTAGAAACAAAAAAAGAAATTAAAAAAAAATGGTATCTTGGATGTTGTTTAGATTATTACGTTTATGGAAAATTCTTAACCCCTTAAGGAGACGTGACATGTCATGATTCCCTTTTATTCCAGAAGTTTGGTCCTTAAGGGGTTAATGATGTATAATTTTTAGATGCGCATGCGCTGTGCCTGGGCGCTAAAAGAGCCCCGCGCTCTGCAGTCTGCAAGGTCGTGCAGGCTGGTGCAAGACAGACAATCCCGATGAATCCCTCCCGTGTTGCCAATGGCATGAGTCATGTCAATGGTGACGAATCCTCTCATGCCTATTCACCGGAGCTGATCTGCATACCTCCCATTTTTGGGACGTGCGATGGATAACAGCACTGGGGAGCCCCCGGGTTGCTCTAACGTTTTTAAATTGAACACTCGTTTACTGTTTTAAATTGAGCACTCGTTTACCAGTATGTCAATCGTGGTTCGTTAGAAATTTTAGTCTCTGTTTTGTTTGCCTGTTGTTCAGCGTTGCAGAATATGTTGGCGCTATAGAAATAATCGTAATTGTTATTAAATTTACTTAAGCATGCTCTGTCTAAAAGAAAGTTATACTATAAATATTTGAGATGAGCCAATATTTTTTGTTAGCCCCTTTTGCATTTTTAAACAAGAAAAAAAGATATTGTGAACAGCTTAGTAGATATACCCCAAATTAAAACAAGTGTACGCTTAATAATGGATTTGTTCATTTGGGGTTTATCTAAAAACAGCTTGAAAAGCTGTGTATATCTTGTCTGAAGCAGATCTCTTGTCTAAAGTCTTTGCAAGCCTTCCACCTTTTCTATAGCCCAGATTTCTGTTGCTGTCCAATAACAGACTGTCCAATGCAGTTCAACTCTTTGTGAGGCAAACTACCATGAAGTAACATTAATGTGGTCTGAGGAAATGAATTATTTTCTAAATGTGTCAATTTCTATTGGAATCTTCATGTTCAGTATAATGAAAAAAAGAGGACACACTTTTCACACATAGAGCACTCCAGCAAGCTAACATGCTTTAGGTGTGTGCAGACATCCCAAATACAAAACCTTATTTCAGGTAGGTGGCTTCACCACTCATGCACCTCCTTACACACACAGACACAAGGACATGGCATTTTATTATGACAGAACACAACTATTTAACAACTTATTGCAACTATTTAGACACAATATTAACACACATGCACATAATGACACATGCACACACCTTGACACACAGATACACACACTCATATACACATACTGGCACATACACACACTGACAAATACACACAGATTCAAACACTAGCACATACAAATACACTCACTAACACATATACACAGATATAAAGTAGAAATGCCATCTATTTACACCAGTGCCCATGTGGGGCACAATATGTAGGTCGCACGATTAGGAAATTGGCAGAACGTATTCTGGAGTACCTACGAGCTATAGCCAATAGGGACACCAGACACATAGCCCCGTTTCCACTGAGCGGTTCGGGTCAGTTCGGTTTTGTACGCCACTTTAGTTGTTTCAACCGAACTAAGCCGCACCATTCCTGGGCCCCCTTCATTTGAAGGTCCATAGGAAAATGGTACAGTACGGTTAGGGCGGAGCTACTGACATCACATGATACAATCCATTGATACAATCCAAAATATCACTGCGTCAATTGGTGGACAGAAAAACGTAATTGCGTCACTGCGGTCTAAACCCCGCATGCTCCCTGGCGGTCCGACTTGCAGTGGAAACACCCACCTGAATAGGCTGCACCATTCTAACCCTTCCAAACCGCACCGACCTGAATCGTACCGTTTCTGTATTTTTCTGCCTGTAAACAACATTTGATGAGCATACATGGTTTTAGTTAGATGTATATGTATATATTTTCGTTTGTATTGTACTGGAATCTGATACCATATTGTGAATAGTTTTATATAATTTTTTATATGTTTATTTCAATATTGTTTTATATTGAACGATTTATTTATTCATACATTATTATTATTATTATTATTATTATTTGCTGTTTGATAGGTCCCTATGGAGTTCATACTATATCATTTGTCTTATTGACATGTCTTTTCTGTGTATTGCCCTGGAATGTTATGGCATTGGTCCAAAGCATGATCCACGATAACAGACTTGGTTTAAATACTAAGTCCATGCGCATGCGCAACTTTTTGGTCACGATGGTGATCCTGTGCAGCCATCTTTTTGGTGGTAGATATAAAGGTACGCCTTATGGATTAATTGATCTTATTCCCAAGTAAAAGATTGCCGCCTGGAAGGGAATGCAGACGAAGCTGCCAGGAATGTATTCTTGGTGCTTTATTCAAACGGAGATTATTTATTTTGCCAGCATGATCCTGGTCAGTTATCTTTTTGGATGGATAACAGGAAACTCCTGTGACCTATAACGGACATCATTGGTGAGGTTTATAAGGCGGGACTTTTTGGACAGTCAGAATCTGCTTTACCTTGACAAAGTCTCACTGACGAACTCCGTCGGTATACAAGTGCTTTCAGTGGTATCCTGCAGCCTGGATTTATTTCAATTTCAGGCGAACCAATACCCTACTGTCTTTTGGTGACACTATATCTACCAGGGAGCACTGCAACCAGGATTTATGCTGAGAGATCACTGCTGTATATGGTAGAAGGGTCTTTGGACCTTCTGATGTGCCTTATGAACTTTATGTTTGTGAGTGCAATATTATCCCCTTCTTTTACTATATTTGTGTGTGGTTTTACACTATGTTGTTTTTCTATGTATTTTTATTCAAGTGATTAAATAGCAAGAAGATTTTATCTTTATCTGGATTGCTGTATTTACACTCTGATAAAGAGGAATATTTTAACATATGTATAATTTTATTCCATTGACTCTATTTTGGTGTTACCACACACTACATATTTGTCTGTAACGGTGCACCACACTCTTTCTTTTGTGCTGTTTTGTTCTTTATATATCACGGTTTTCTGAGTTATCCGGTGTGTGAGTGCCGTTAGGTTATGCACTAATATCTGTTTTTTATTTACAGAGATCTACACACTGACATACAGATACACACACTGGCATACAGAAATACACATTGACACACAGATACACACTGGCATACAGAAATACACACTGACACACAGATACACACACTGGCACATACACATACATACACTGGCATACAGATATACACACTGGCACATACACAAAGACACACAGATATACACACTGACACACAGATGCACACACTGGCACATACACATAGATACACACACTAACACACAGATACACACACACCTGACACAATTACACACATACATGTAATATTGATATACTTGCAGCAACCTGTCAGGTATACTCTATCATCCATACTGCCGCCGGAACCCACTTCCGGGTTCACGGCGCTTAGCCCCGCCCCTTTTCTCTGACGCGGTCCTTCCACGATACTTAGGAAGACCGCGCCAGATTCAAGGGGCTGGATTATTCACGCAGGTACGGCATTGAGATCAGCTGCTCTATTGAATGCTACCGGCTACACTCCTCTCTCGACCTCAGCTTGTAACCAGATTTCAACCTTCCCCACTTCTCGACCTCGGCTTGGAAAACGGACTTCTACCTTCTCCACTCCCAGACCTCGGCTTGTAAAAACGGACTTCCTTACTTTCCACTCCTAACGCTCAGCTTATTCATAGAGAGTCATAATCTCTCCTCCATTGGGTGAATTAACCCTTCCAATACCAGAACTTCCTCTAAGTTAAGTAATCCTTTTTCTCCAAGGAAACCAATTCATATTAATTATTTTCACTTCATTCCTCTCTTGTCAATAAGGGATTACTACTAAGTCTTATTTCTCCTGCAAATATCATTTTATTATTAATTGCAACCTGTCCAGCTTATTTATCATTATACTAATAAATCATTCCATCTTAATTAAGTTGGAACTAGCATTGCTTTCCTTCCTGCATGTGTATTTAAAGATACAGTCAAGCTTGTTTACTTCAATATAAAGGAGGTGTAATTATTGTTTCTGCAGTTGAGTTCCAATTAAAGGGATATTACACAATCCCATCACAGAATAATCCAGCCTTTTCAATGGAACCAGCAGATATTAACTCACAAGTTACTGCTCTAACCAATAGAGTGGATACGATTGCTCAAGGGTTACAAGAACTGCAAATCACGAATGAGAGAATATTAACCTATGTCAGAGACATGCAAAACCATCTCCCTCATGCCGCTCTTCAATCGGCTGGTGATCCTGCTGTCTGTAATCCAGAAAAATTTTATGGAGATAGAACAAAGTACAGAGAGTTTTTGAATTCTTGCAAATTACTAATAGCTTTAAAACCTAGATCTTATCCCACCGAAAGATCCAAAGTCTGTTCAGTAATATCTTTTTTAAGAGGTGAACCTATGGCCTGGGCCCATTCCTTTTTGGAAAATGATGATCCCATATTAGATTCATTGGATGAGTTCTTTGAAGCTATGTCTTTATTATATGAAGATCCTTTTAAACAAACTAC